TCAGTGGTGGTCGTCTTTCAGCCTTTCTTACCTTGGCCATGTCTCTGAGTATTGCACACCTTGTGCTTTTGGGCACTCCAGTGATGTTGCAGCTCTGAAATATGGCCAAACTGGTGGCAAGTGGCATCGTGGCAGCTGCACGCTTGACTTTTCTCAGTTCATGGGCAGTTATTTTGCGCCTTGGTTTTTCCACACGCTTCTTGCGACCCTGTTGACTATTTTGAATGAAACGCTTGATTGTTCGATGATCACGCTTCAGAAGCTTTGCAATTTTAAGAGTGCTGCATCCCTCTGCAAGATATCTCACTATTTTTGACTTTTCTGAGCCTGTCAAGTCCTTCTTTTGACCCATTTTGCCAAAGGAAAGGAAGTTGCCTAATAATTATGCACACCTGATATAGGGTGTTGATGTCATTAGACCACACCCCTTCTCATTACAGAGAGGCACATCACCTAATATGCTTAATTGGTAGTAGGCTTTCGAGCCTATACAGCTTGGAGTAAGACAACATGCATAAAGAGGATGATGTGGTCAAAATACTAATTTGCCTAATAATTCTGCACTCCCTGTATATATATATATATATATATATATATTCCTCATTCTCGGGTCCATTACCAGAGGCCTGGGATTCTGAGGGTTCTGCGCAGTATCTTACCTGCTCCTTGAACTGCACTCTTCTGGACTGCTATCTTAGATGTCCCACTTGGAGTCTAATGAATCCACTCCTGGAACTTGGGTGGTTACAGCCTTGAGTGCACCTATCATAACTGAGACTACTACTGCCTTCAGTTTCCACTTCCTTTCTAGCTCCTTTTTCAGTCCTTTGTATTTGTCCATCTTCTCATGTGCAATTAGTTTTGTTCCGAATTTCTGTGTTGAATTTTGGAATGCCAAACGGAACGGAATTGCCGAATTTTGGAATGCCGAACCAAATGGCAGAAGTGACGAATTTCAGAAGTGCCGAAGTCCTTCTGATTTCTGAAAAGTGGCAAAACAGGAGAGGGTTGGAGTTAGGGGTTAGGTTAGGGTTAGGGTAAGGTTAGTGGTTGGTGTGGATGTAGGGTTAGGTTTAGGTTTAGGGGTAGGGTTAAGGTTTCGGGTAGGGTTAGGGTTGGTGGTGGAGTAGGGTAGGGTAACCCTAACCCTAACCTTAACCGTACTCCTAACCCTACCCCTAACCTAACCCTACCTCTAAACCTAACCCTACTCCTAAACCAACCCTACCCCTAAACCTACCACTAACCCTACTCCTAAACTAACCCTATCCTTACCCAAAGTTCAGAAGTGCCGAACCGAAATGCCAAAGTCCCAAATTTCAGAATGCTGAACCAAACTGAATATTTTCCCATGCACATCCCTATAGTACATGGCCTTTGACCCCAAAATGTGCGTGTGTGTCGACATTGTGACATTTCAGCGCACTCCCATATCTACTAAACAGCTACTTTGGTGCTGACAGATTTTGCTAGTTTTATTAAAAACACCTAGTCTAGACAAAAAATAATGGGAGTTTAGTTACATTCCATTATCATACATTGCAAAAGCCTATGTGATCCTTGTCTGCAGATAGCACGGTACTCTAGGGTAAACAACAGGCACAGTCCTTTGGTTTTCATGTAATCCAGGCAGTTTTATTGTTAAACTCCACCACAGCTACAGCAGCAAATGAAAAAAACAACAACACAAATCCCTATAAACAAAAGCCTAGCTCGTCTGAGCACTAACTAACATCAGACTCCCTCTCTCTCAGGGTTTAAACTAGAACAAAATAATATTTGGGTTCACCAACCTAGTGCCTTTGTCAGATCTCTGCACTCCACACTCGGTTAGCATGTGGCTTCCATTCCTTCTAGAAATAAACAAAATTATCTATCTTTTCCGCACTCCCAGTGCTCCAAGCCAGCCTTGACTGCTTTCCTTTTGCACTCCCAGTGCTCAGTCTCCTTGACTCTCTCACTGGAGAAAACAGCCTCTCTCCAACCTGCTTCCAGAGAGGAAGCCAGCAATCCCCCCTTTACCCGCATAGCAAGTTGGGGTTTATTCCCACTGCTACAGCTGATTATCTGCAGCTGAGCAGTGGGCTGGAGACAGTTCAAAAAAACTCTTGCCTGGACCTGATTTCTCCCGGTTGTGTATAAACTGAGGAGTGGAGCATTGGCCCACCCTGCTCTCCAAATGCTCCACCCCAGGGGCCCATAACTAAACAGTGGTTTGTGTTGCTTATAACACATACTACACATACTTCCCCTGGGGTTAAATATCATAGGCCTATCTGCCTTGACTTTATCACACCTGCCACAACGTCAATGTACTGCATCTTTGGCAGGTCCTACTCTAACAACCAACTGTCTACTGAATGAGCTACTCACTTGGCGAAATCCTTCTATCTCGAGTTCTCTGCAGTACAAGGCTAGATAGGGTCCTGAGATGAGGCACCTGTGACAGGGAGAAGTGCAAAAGCAAGGAGCTGGCTAGCCTCCTAAATGTATATATGGGCAAGCAAGGGGCTGGCTACACTCACCTGAACATGCTTAAATGGTGTGCTGCTGGGGGCCAATAAGTATAGTAAAGATGAAAATCCAGCGCACTCCCTTATCTACTAAACAGCTACTTTGGTGCTGACAGATTTTGCTAGTTTTATTAAAAACACCTAATCTGGGCAAAAAACAATGGGGGTTTAGTTACATTATATGATCATACATTGCATAAGCCTGCCACAATGTCAATGTACCCCATCTTTGGCAGGTCCTACTCTAACAACCAACTGTCTACTAAATGAGCTACTCACTTGGGGAAATCCTGGCCCATATTCTGTGCAGATATTTTGGTACACAATCCCAGCAATTTAGTTGGGCTTATCAGTGCATGCTGTCCCTGATAACATATTTTACCTGGCTACTTTGTGCTGTGTTGTCTTAGAGGCCTCTTTGCACAGTCTGCATCTTTGGTCCTGTCTGGTGTGGTAGGATCCCGCTTCCATCGATCTGGTGCTGAGTGGCTGTTCCTGTGCTAATAGGATTAGTGCCTCAGTGCTGTCTTTCAGTCCTGCATTTTCCAACAACTGGTAGGATTTTGTAATGTGTGCCACATCCACTATCTGCTGGTTGTACACCCCATGGAGAGGTTTGTCTAGCCATGTAGTCGCGTCCTTTTCTGCATCATCTATGTCTTGGATTTCCGGGAGAATCCTCCATTCATATTGAATAGTCTTGACATCCATGGTTACCAACTCTTCTCTTGTCAAGGTTATTATTCCAGCTGGGTTCCTGATGACTGATAGGGTATATGTATTGATGGATTGGGTCTTTTTCTTGTTATTGAGCTGGGACTTCAGGACCTATCTGACTCTCTAGAGGTACTTGAATTTTGCTATGCTCCTTACCTCCACGTGTTTGTGATACCCCCACATCCATTCTCTACATCTCCTATCTGACCTTCCAGTACTTGAACTCCTTCCATCCTGATCACCTTCACTTATTTTGCCATCATCCTCCCACACTTACCTAGTCCGAATGCCATTCTGATGTCCTTTTTGTTTATTCTAGTTAGGTGGATCAGTTAGTCAATGTCCTGCTCACTCTTGGCATACAGCTTGATGTCGTCCCTGTAGACTAGGTGGTTGATGATAGCTCCACTCTTAAACCTCTACCCATATATATATATATGCTTCATGATGATCTAGCTATAGGGGTTAAGGCCTATGCAGAACAGTATTAGGGATAGCGCAACACCTTGGTATATGCCACATTTAATGTTTACTTGTGTTACCTGAAAATGGCTTCTAGAGTTGTTTTCCACTTGCCTATCGAATTCTTGATGAAGGTTCTTAGTTGCTCTTTGGTCTGTCTGGTCTCAGAATCCTTTGTGACTGCTTTGTCTACCAGCAGTTGGTGTTTTGATCCTAGATTAAACAAAGAGATGGACTACACAAAAACATATACATATTTGTGTGTGCATGTATTCATATGTATATATGTGTATGAATATATATATATTTTCATTGTTAATGCATCTCATCAGCGTGAGGTTGGTTACTGGCTTGCTATTAAGGCTTAGCGTTACTTGCGGAGCACAAACCAAGAAAGTGATTGAAAACCCCTTCCACCTGAAGTCAGTGAGTAGTCAATACATTGTTAAGCACAGATCTGCACACCAGTCAAGCCATAAGACTTGCTTTTCCCAAAGAACTCTCAAACTTGCAGTGATGTTACTACTGCAAGGGATTCTGGGTGGGCATATGCAAATTAGTTTACAAAGAATTACATTTTTGCCTCATTATTCCATTTTAAACATGGATTCCTTTAAGTTTATGATTGCTATATAAAACAGCTTTGAAGCACAACTCAGGAATAGATGCAAAGTCAGCGAATCACTCATGGACAGCTGTTTCATTGTTAATCAGCATGAAGCTGGTTGCAGGCTTGCTATTGAGGCTTGGCGTTATCTGCGGGGCACAAACCAAATACATGATTATTTGTTGAACTAATTTGTAAATGCCCACCCAGATATAATCAATGTAATTCACTTCACCTGTCAGTGGCTTTAATGTTGTGTCTGATCATTGTATGTATATAAATAAAAAGAAAGCATTTTGAAGTTTGCCAGACTGTCAGTAAGCCTGGCTACCATATTCAGGGGCAGACCCATTGAGCACAATGCCCTGTGCAACCTGCTGTTGAAAGGTGGGCAGGAAAGATTAGAAGGTATGCTTTTAGAAACATAAATTTGCATATGTAAAATTTATTTTTCTTGCTCTTGAAAGTTCTTGAAAGCATATGGGACTGACAATTATATTATAATCTTTATAGTTTTTAGTCACTACTCGACGTTTTGACTAGCTGGACTTGATATTTATAATTATTGGAAATAATCTCAACTTGCACATTGAGAGAGTGGAAGTGCTTAGTTGATAGCACCCACCTCTTGATCTTTGGGGTAACCTGAGAGCCGCATGGGTGCAGTCTACGGCTATGGGCAATCCTCCCCTTCTGTAGAACCCCATCTTCACCCTTCACCAGCCTTCATGGGTTGAAAGAAAGGAAATAAACATCTGACAGTGAGTCCTAATTGCAGTGAGGAAATGTCCCAGCACCATGGAGAATATGGAATGAGATATTATGCTCACAACACTCGGTCCTCTGTAAACTGCTGAATGCATGGAAATGTATGCAACTCAATACGTATGCCGTCCCATGCACTCCCCTATGACTTTGGGACAATGGCTTCAAGTCATTCTTAATGTCACACAATCTCAGATGACCTGTGGATACCTCTCCACTATTTTCACATCTCTCAAGAATTCCTATAAAATGACCTGGTGTATGATGTCCGGGCCTAGCATCTCCTCAGCCATTAACATACATTGCCCCTGCCATGGTCTGAAACATTTAGTTTTATTACTGAGAATGGTGGGGGCTTAGGGTGGTTTGTAACGCAACGCATGCCCAGCAGTGACAGAACTACCGCCAGGTACCGCAGGCTTTCTGGTCTCATTGGGTACCCATACACTTATGGTAAAGCCCCTAGGCAGGCTGGTCTGATCGGGGCCACATCGGCTGCTGTGGCCCTTTAGCAACAGAACTGGGCCCCTTTAATGTCTACGGCCAGTGCTGGGATGAAGTGAATTCCTGTCACCTCCTCCCAGCTCAGAGATTGATTGGAGGCCAACACTACATACAGTCACACTGTTGCATATAAACACACTGTTGCAATCAAACGCCAACACCTCATACAAACACACCGCTGTATTAAAACAGCAACATTGTATACAAACACACCCCTACATTCAAACACCAAAACTACACACAAATGCAACCCTTCATTCTAACACCACAACCTCATACAAACACACCCCTGCATTCAAACACACTACGCACAAGTATGCTACTGCTTTCAAAAAAACTGCCCACAAATAAAATGAATTAACCCATCTATCAACAGTGCTTTGTTGATGAATTAGATAAGCCCATTTCAGGGTTGGTAAATACTTGATAAATTATATTAAATAACTCAGTAAGATACTTTTAATGGAAAAGATGCAAATGGTTTAGAATGGTTTTGAAAATCACCCAAAAATTTAAGTCACTTAAACATTAATTTATTGGCTACCAATACTACTAAAAGTACTTATATTAAATCACTATGAATCATTAAAAGGCTTTTTGGCAACTGAAAATCCAACATAATCACTGATAGCTTGATATAAAATACAACCCATTAGTCACTAAGAGAAAGAATTCAGGTTCAATCCAGCATACCATCCAACTGTCCTATTTAGGATGGACAGTCCTTTTCTGAACACTAAGTCCACTAATAGGATTAGCCTTTTTGAAAGGTCCAAGCATAATGCAACATTCCTCCCTTGTGTTCTAGGATGACAATGTCACCAATGCATCTTCAATATTATAAATACCAGGCATGGATTCAACTGAGCCAAAAATACCACCAAAAATACCAGCACCGCATTGTGGTACCTTTTCTGCCCATCGAGATTATTTTCAAGAAAGACTGTAATTTAACAATGTTTGTTACATACCAAGATTTCCCACAAACATCTAGAATGAAAAAATCTTGGCATTAACCCGAGAACATGAGGAAAACACTTTAAAATAAGCAAAAAATATATTTACAACATTATATTGATAGAGTGTGAAATTGTTGCATCAGTAATGCCTTAATATGGTGTTTATATGAAAGTACACACTAGGAGCAGTTCAAGTATGCACAGTATGCAAATGTTAGGGGATTTTACGGTTTTGTTTACTGCTACGCAAACTCTGCACGCTAGAGAGACGATAATAAAAATGAGATGGAGACACAGTCAAGTGAAAATTCAAATTTAAAGCGTAATTCTTAGTGGCTGTATTGTGTATTTAGACAATATAATACAATAACAGCATTTGAAATCAATCATGATTGTTGGGAAATAAAAGAACAGTGAGCATGAAATATCCAGTGGAGGTAAATATACTTACTGCTGCTGCACTTCTGGGCATGGAGGACCCAACTGATCCATGATGCTCCAGTTGCTCTCATGGGCACTTGGGCATCTGCAGAGTTAACATTAACAGGATGGTTCACTAAAGTGAGAATTCAAAGTCATAATATCTGAGCCGGAAAAAATTATTTGAGTCAAATTTACTTTGAATTCTCACTTTAGTAAATAAACTTGTGAATAAGAGAAAACTGACGCAGAGAAATGCCAGAAGCTAACTCACGGTGTGCAGTAGCTACTACGGTCATGCATTGCTCCCTGCATGGCCCTGGAGGCTGGTCAGGCAGTCTGTCAGTGGGCTCACCTTCTATTGACAAATTATTTAGGGAGTATTCGCTTTAGATGGACCATATGTAATTCAAACCTTTGTATTATGTAAGTGATTGGTAAGGGGTTTCACTGTTGGCATCAACATACAGGGGAAAATGTTAGTGAACTAAATCCAGATGACAACTTTGAGGCTAAAATAATGACAGTGACTTTAGCTGAGCTGGAGAATACTTTTAAATAAGCTACTTTAACCGGGACTTTACTATTTCAATTTCTCAGTAAAATTTGGTGTTTAGAGAATAATCTAATGTTTGCTACTTGGCAATTTTAGTCATAACATTGCAGTCTCTCTGCCCTCAACTCATTGCGGCTTGTTGTTTAGCATATATACCCCAAAGGTTTGTGTTGGGTCGCCCCCCCACCCCATAAATATTGTTTCCTCCTCCCAATGGGAGATGTCACTAAAGCATTTATGGTTATCCTCGAAGATTGTTTGGTTTTTATAGATCAAATTGACATAAATAAATGAAGTAAAATGTGCAGATGATGACTCCCTATTTTATAAAAATAGTCATATTGTTGTAAAAATATGAAACTGCTGTGAATTCTGTTTAAATAAAAAAATAAATTGCAGTTCTTCCCCTTTAAAAGTCTTTTTAAATGTTCTGTATCCACTACGTAGAGCTTGTGAATATGTTAGCCCGCTAAATAAATTATAATAGCATTAGCTGCACAGAGTTCTAAGAACACATTGATTTCAACTGTTTATGTGCCTATCTAATCTTATTTAATTATAGCATTGCAGTAAAAAATTACATTAGCCAATAGAACTTACAAACTACATACATATATGTAGATATGTAGCATTTCTTACAAATTGGGTCGATGGCACGTTCACCTTTATGTTGGTATAGGTTATATCTATTGTGATAGCAAGTTAATTGAAAGACACACTTGGCTTAACAAAAATATTTTTTTCAATTCCTCACAGTTGCCAGTTTAGTGAGTAATTTAGTGGGTGGTAGGACCAGAGGTAGAACTACCACCAATGTACCACCAGGGGATCGCACACTTGGGGGGCCCATCGGGTGGCCCATGCTTTAAGGGCCACCTGGTGAACATATGTTGTCATGGGCTCAGCTGCGTGCTGAAGCGCTTTAACAGCTCAAACAGGCCTCTTTAATATCGTCATGAGGCAGCTCTGAGAGGAAGTGAGAGCCTGTCACTTCCTCCCAGATAACACATACCGAGCCACATGGGAAGGAAGACAGGAGGAAAAGACAGAGAGGTGGGGGACACAAACACATACTGTCAGGGCCGGTGCAAAGAATTTTGGGTACATAGGCGAAGATGCATTTTTCCTCCCCCCCCCAAAAAACATATTCGCCCATGTGCCTCTTAACCTCCCTTTTGTGTTTCTTATCCCGTCTTTTAAATATCTGACTCCCTTTAGTGTATTTTATCTCCTATTTTTGCCTTTGTGTGTCTCCTATCTCTCCTCTTTGTGTCTTTTATTCTTCCCAGCTCCTTTGTGTGTCTCTTTCCTTCTCAAGCCCAGCTGTGTGTTTCTTTTACATCCAGCCCCTCTCCCTGTCCCTTAATGGTCCCCTCCCTTCTCTGACCCTTACTGTTCCTCTCCCCTCTCTCCTCCTTTCCCTGTTCCTCAGTGTTCCTTTCCCTTCCCCCTCCTTTCCCTGTCCCTTAGTGTTCCTCTCCCCTCCCCCCTCTGTTCCCTGTCGCTTAGTGTTCCTCTCCCCCCCTCCCTCCTTTTCCTGTACCTTAGGGTTTCTCTCCCCTCCTCTCCCTTTCCCTTGGTGCGCCACCCACCCCCATAGTGGTCCCCTCCCCTTCCTGGTGTGCCTCCTACCTTTCTTGTAGCGTGGCTGAGCGGAGCGAATCCCAGTACAGTGAGCTTTTCCTGTCAGTCCTGCTAGGTACGGGAAACAGAAGTTCCTGTACCACGGTACACTCCGCTTGGCCACGCTACAGTCAGGGGTGTAGAAACACTGACAGTCACACACACTCAATGACAAACACACAGACATCTCTGACAGCCAGACTCACTTATCTGACACTCATTCATTGACAGACACACAAACAAACACTGACAGACTCATTGACAAACACACACACACACACACACACACAAACTCACAGACACTGACAGACACATGTACTCACATGCACACACGCACATACTGACAGACACACTCACTCACACACACACACTGACAGAACCACACACATATTCATATACACACACACACACTGACAGACACACATACACACACACACACACACTGACAGACACACTCACACACACACTGACAGACACACTCACTCACATACTGACAGACACACATACACAATCACACACACACACACTGACAGACACTCACACACACGCTGACAGACACACATACACATACACACACACTGACAGACACACTCACTCACACACTGACAGACACACTCACTCACACACTGACAGACACACATACACACACACACACTGACTGACACACATACACACACACACTGACAGACACACATACACACACACACTGACAGACACACATACACTGACAGACAGACACACACACACACACACTGACAGACACACTCACTCACATGCACACACACACTAACAGTAATTAATCATCTAAATTAAATTAAAATTTCCCACCCAGCCTCCCTACCTGGAGAGCTGTCGTGGGTCTCTCATTGGTGGTCCAGTGGGGCTGCTGGGAGGCGTGCGGCTGAATTGGATGCCGAGGGAGCTCTGATCTCTCTGATCTGCTCCCTCGCAGGCTGCTTACTGATGCCGCGGGAGCCGGAATATGACGTCATCAGCAAACAGCCTGCGAGGGAGCACATCAGAGAGATCAGAGCTCCCTCGCCCCCTCGGCATCCAATTCAGCCGCACGCCGCGCCGGGGATCCAGAGGGTGACC